TCTCTCTCTCTCTCTCTCTCTCTCTTTCTCTCTCTGTAAGAATTGATTGTGAAGGTATTTTCTTTATCAATGATTGGAATTAATCAATTTTATTCCTTTTCAGAAACACGTGGAAAATAATAGACTGGATTGATCACATCCTATTCCCTTTTTCTGTAATAAATGAACGATTTCATCCTTCCGTTACCTATGAAATAAATTAATTATTTCATTAATTATATGGACAATTTAAATTCGCAAACTAAGAAATTAAATTAACAAAATGTATGACATTTATTCAGATATGCCTTGACTGATAGTTTTACAGAAATATTAATCAGAGAGAACTGATAACTGTGGGCAGAATGGATTAAACATCGAGAAGCGATATGACAACGCCCATTTGAGTTATGTACATTGTGACCGTTTTCTAGATTCTATAATACTAATTCCTGAAAAAAGGATTAGGGCGAGTCAAGAAAATGGACGAATAAGGGGTAATTTGAGAGTAATAATCTATATTCTTTTCTAAATACAATTATGATCGCCAAAAGACGTAAATAAGGCCTTTACTGAGATCTAGGGAGTGCGGGAGGCCAGGCAACTTTTGTACATGTAAAAAGGGAGTGACTCTAATACAGAAAAAGGGGAGAAGCTAGTCGTGTCGAGGGAATGCAACTAAATATAAGAAGAATAACTAAATGGGGAAGAAACAAAAGAGTGTAGGCTCACCGTTGGGGGGTATGAAGGGTAATATTGTGGGGACAAGAGGGAAATTGAGGGGGGTAACTCGTACTCACGATGGGACTTCACTCTGGGGGCCTATTCTCGAAATATTTCCGTGCGCGGAAGCGACTCCGTTGACGGAACGCCTATATGATTCCTATACGCAATTCGTCTACGAAGCCACTTCCGTGCACGGAAATATTTCGAGAATAGCCCCCCAGGTGAACACGCGGAATTCCACCGGCGCCTTGCACTCCTTCAAAATACCAGGGCGTTTTCCTGGAGAGCCTCCTTTCCACCTCGGGGTTTCCTGGGCACCAATACTAAAGCTGGGATGAGTTCGATGTATCGAAAGTCCTCTTTTTATCCGCCAATACTTCCGGGCGAATTTTACTGTATTCACTATTACTACTTTCGGGGCACGTGGTGACTCACGGGGCAGCTATTGCACGAGTGACGGTCCCTTTCTTTCCTTCGCGATTCGTGGGGGTTCGTCAGGTGTCGATGTCCTTCGGTTTTTAATTCGGGAGCAACCGGGGCCAATCAGCACGGTGGAGTGGTGACGATGACCACAATCCAGGGATGTCTCACAAGGGATTATTGCAGGTGTTGAATATTCGGGAGTCCAGTATGTGGAATTTCCAGGGGGCGATAGCTTCTCCAATTGATCGGGTGGGGCCGGAACTGATATCTTCCTTCGGCTGATGTCTTCGTGATGTCCAGGGGCGGNATTCGCAAACTAAGAAATTAAATTAACAAAATGTATGACATTTATTCAGATATGCCTTGACTGATAGTTTTACAGAAATATTAATCAGAGAGAACTGATAACTGTGGGCAGAATGGATTAAACATCGAGAAGCGATATGACAACGCCCATTTGAGTTATGTACATTGTGACCGTTTTCTAGATTCTATAATACTAATTCCTGAAAAAAGGATTAGGGCGAGTCAAGAAAATGGACGAATAAGGGGTAATTTGAGAGTAATAATCTATATTCTTTTCTAAATACAATTATGATCGCCAAAAGACGTAAATAAGGCCTTTACTGAGATCTAGGGAGTGCGGGAGGCCAGGCAACTTTTGTACATGTAAAAAGGGAGTGACTCTAATACAGAAAAAGGGGAGAAGCTAGTCGTGTCGAGGGAATGCAACTAAATATAAGAAGAATAACTAAATGGGGAAGAAACAAAAGAGTGTAGGCTCACCGTTGGGGGGTATGAAGGGTAATATTGTGGGGACAAGAGGGAAATTGAGGGGGGTAACTCGTACTCACGATGGGACTTCACTCTGGGGGCCTATTCTCGAAATATTTCCGTGCGCGGAATCGACTCCGTTGACGGAACGCCTATATGATTCCTATACGCAATTCGTCTACGAAGCCACTTCCGTGCACGGAAATATTTCGAGAATAGCCCCCCAGGTGAACACGCGGAATTCCACCGGCGCCTTGCACTCCTTCAAAATACCAGGGCGTTTTCCTGGAGAGCCTCCTTTCCACCTCGGGGTTTCCTGGGCACCAATACTAAAGCTGGGATGAGTTCGATGTATCGAAAGTCCTCTTTTTATCCGCCAATACTTCCGGGCGAATTTTACTGTATTCACTATTACTACTTTCGGGGCACGTGGTGACTCACGGGGCAGCTATTGCACGAGTGACGGTCCCTTTCTTTCCTTCGCGATTCGTGGGGGTTCGTCAGGTGTCGATGTCCTTCGGTTTTTAATTCGGGAGCAACCGGGGCCAATCAGCACGGTGGAGTGGTGACGATGACCACAATCCAGGGATGTCTCACAAGGGATTATTGCAGGTGTTGAATATTCGGGAGTCCAGTATGTGGAATTTCCAGGGGGCGATAGCTTCTCCAATTGATCGGGTGGGGCCGGAACTGATATCTTCCTTCGGCTGATGTCTTCGTGATGTCCAGGGGCGGTGGTAGAGGGGTGATGAGGGGAAAAGTCTGGGGATGGGGTATCCAACGATGGCGGAATTTACCTTTTAGGGGGCAGTGTGTAGTAGGAGAAAATATGTAGAAAAATAATAAAAAATAAATGAATATGCCTCGTCACAACATATACACACTTTTTAAAAATACTATTCAATGGAACGAAATTTAGAACATTTGTGAATGTCCCCATCTGCCAGATTCCCACATCAGACGATGGACAAGGCGCTGAAAAAATATTCTGTCTTCCTGGATTATAACAGCCTTCCAGAAAAATTTCCTCGTATCCGGTTAATTTCGGAATAGGACGCTGAGATCGGATAGGGGAGACATAGTCAATAAAAGCTGTAGATACGAATTACATCAACTCCTGAATTTATTCGCACTACGAACATAGTTCAATACATATTAGACGTTTTTTAGTCGCCCACTCACTAATGGACTGTATCACTTGGCTCACGCCTCAACGTCTCGAGACTAACAGAATAATAATTACGCTTAGATACATAAACGCGGGAGACAACGTCGATAAATTAGATCGATTAAGATAATAAATATGCAGAACGCCAGATATTCGTTCAATCATCAAAATTCAACAATAAAACTAGAATCTTTACGAAATCCAGACACTAACATTCCTCCCACCTTTGGCAATGACTATTGACAAAATTGTCGACCGGCAACAGGAACTGTCGATCATAAAGACAAATGAACAAAAGAAAAAGAAATAGAAATTGAGTCAAACAACTACGCAAAATTCTATCCCTCAACGCCCCCAGCATCCCCATCAGGCAACTGCCTGTCTGCAGACTCATCGACCGGCACAGCTTCAATCGGTAAAGGGCAGACCTTCACAATAGGCCTTGTGAATGTCGACGACTGTGTCCTAACAGTAACCACTCTGCATAAATCATCCTCCCCCGGCTGCAGTTTGATGACAACACATCCCATCGCCCACTTGATAGGCGGCAGCCTCTCGTCTACGATCAGAACCAAAGTCCCCAATTGCAGATTCGATTTGGGCCTGTACCACTTATTGATCTCCTGGAGCTTCTGGACGTACTCCCCAGACCAACGCTCCCAGAATGTTTCCACCATCTGTCTAATCTGCTGATACCTTGACATTCTGGATGCCGCTAAATGACTCAAAGAAGGCTCAGGCACAATTGACAGCGGAGCGCCAATAAGAGAATGCCCTGGTGTTGAGGCCGCGAACTCGTTAGGATCGTCTGATAGTTGACACAGAGGTCTCGAGTTCAGAACCGCCTCAATTTACGTAAGCAACGTCGTCAGCTCTTCATATGTCAGAGTAGCTTCCCCAATCACGTGTTTTAGATGAAATTTAGCCGACTTGACCGCCGCTTCCGATTTCCCTCCGTGATGAGGAACTCTCGGAGGATCAAAAATCCACTTAGTTCCATCCTTGGATACGCTTTGAGCAATTTCCCGAGCTTCCCGACCGGTAGCATCGAACAACCTCCTTAGTTCCCGATCAGCTCCCACCAAGTTGGTACCACGATCACTCGTGATCGTCTCACAGATACCACGCCTAGCTGAGAATCTCCTGTAGAAAGCCAAGAATCCCTCCATGCTGTAGTCCGTCACCCATTCGATGTGCACTGCTGAGGTCACAAAGCACACGAAGATCACCTAAACCCCTTGTAAATCCTGGCTGCTCGACGCCTCCAACTCAGCAATGTCAACGGTCCTGCATAATCCACTCCACAGTGAAGAAAAGCTCGAGCTGCTGTCACTCTCCTCAAAGGCAACTGACCCATCAGCTGCTTGGCCACAGTGCCACGATGACGAGTGCTGATCACGCACCTGAATATGAAGCTCTTCACTGGCCTCGTCTCACCAAGAATCCGATATTTCCTCCTTAGAAGTGTCTGCATCACCTGAACTCCCCCATGGAAGGTCTGACGATGAGCCTCCATCAAAACAAGCTCAGTAAATTTGGAACTGGATGGCAGTATCACAGGATGCTTAAAATCCCCCTCCAGAGACGATTTCTGAAACCTCCAAGTCAAACGAATAATCGCTTCACCATTAAGAAAAGGCACTAGATGAAACAGCACAATCCTCCGAGCCATTTACTTCGTTTCTCTAAGCTTCTTGACGTCCTGATAAAAATACTCAGCCTGAGTCTCCCGGATCCAGAACACCCTAGCCTCGTCGATCTCACTAGGCTGCAAAAACAACCCCTTGAATCCTCGACCTCCATTGCTAGTTTTCGCTCGTCTGACTAGAAAAACCCGACGACACTAAGCAGTAACAGCTAACAGCTCCCTCAATGAGTTGTATCTCCCAACGAGATCCCAAGACTGATACTCTGAACCAGCACCAACGCAAGCTGCATGCACATCCACATTCTTCCTCTCCAAACTCTCAGAATCATTAACAGCGAACCTCTGCTCCGGCCAACAAGACTCAGATTGACTTAACCATCGTGGACCAGTCCACCAAAGCTGACTACTGACGAGCTTCTTGCTTGACACTCCTCTCGACACCAGATCCGCAGGATTATCCTCCCCAGGGACATGCGTCCAGTTAGCCTGAGGCATCAGACGCTGAATCTCCGACACACGATTTTTAACGAATTGTTTGTATCTTGCGGGATCAGACTTGATCCACGTCAAAGCTACCGATGAATCTGTCCACAAATTCACCACCAAATCATCTATCTCCAAAGCCTTACAAACTGATACCATATGACGTGACAACAAAGATGCTCCCATGAGCTCCAGCCTCGGAATCGTCACCTTCTCAGACAGAATCCAACCCGACGAAGTTTGTTGTGCGATTAGCTGATCTAAGGTCTCCCTCCTCAACCCAGGCTGGATAATCTGCGAGTACACATCCACCCCCAGGATCATGTCGATTCCTCTAGTACTACTGAACTCAGGTTCAGCTAGCTGCATTCCTTCCAACACCGACCACTCCCGATAAGGCACAGCTCTCGGAACATAAACCGTCAAACGCGGCCGGATGATAGCTTCAGCCTCACAAACGCGATGACCCCAACTAGAGGATAACTCCACAACGACGATCCCCTTAGCAGCAGAAGAACTAGCGACCCCAACACCCGAAACCATCTGAGAAGAGTATCGACGAGGGATACGAAGATGCTGCTGCTGAGCTGATGACTTCTCAGTTGTCAAAGTTACTTGAGAACATGGATCAATCAAATACACCAAATACACAACAACAATTTTTTCCCGTGAATGTTCAATTTTGCAGTGCTTGTTGACGGCTCCCCCGGATAAACCCACGACTTTCGCCTCTTAGGATTGTCATAAAATATCCACTTTTCATCCCCAGTCACAATTTTATGTACAAAGTCTTTTTTTTATATCTGGTCAGTAAGCACATTGCAATTTCACAGCGTCGACTTTTGTTTCCTGAGGTAAGATGATGGGGCACCCAACTACCTTCCTTCTGTATCCCCCCAATTCTTTTTAAATGCGCCGACATAGCTGGTTGAGTTACTCCAAGAGTATCAGCAAGCTCCTGTTGTGTTTGACAGGGATTTTCATTGAGTAAGTTGTCCAATTCCTCGTTCTCAACTTTTTTGGTTGCCCAGGACGTTCCTCATCCTGGAGATCAAAATCTCCATCCCGAAATTTTTGAAACCACTTTTTACATGTGCTGTAAGATACAGCACTCTCTCTCAAGGTCAAGCGAATCATTTCTTGTGCTTCTGCGGCAATTTTTCCAAGTTGGAAGGTGAAATGAAGGCAGTGCCTCAAGTGCTGCTTGTCAAACGACATTTTTATTCACTATGTTTTTTGAGGTTGTGTTAATCACACTATAATCATACTCGAGTGGTTTGATAGTTCACAGATGGCACTTCAAAACGCCGTTTATTGCTGGGAATTCTTTTAATTCAAATAGGTGTTCTGATCAATTTAATCTAGGGGCCGAGAATTAATTTATACACCTAATAAATGCATAGACTCTTGTGGCATATCTTTGACGGGATTGAATCTTAGGACTTTATACAATGGAGTTGGAATATCTTGTGGTTGATGCTCGTGATCGAGCCGAGTAATGAAACTTTCTTTTGTTCTTTTCGGAGCATCTGGGTCTGGATACAGACATCGTTTATTGACAGTCTCCCCTGGAACTGTGCACCTTTTACACGCATTAAAACCGGTGGGATATTTGATACGCTGCCATAAGCTTTTTCTGGACCATCACCAATTATCGCAGCAAATTTGAAAGTAGTATAGAACCTTCCCTAGATCGTTACACCCTCAATAATGAGTCTCCGGGCTTCTTCCACAAAATCATCCAAATAAGGCTCAAGATCTATTGGTTTTGTTTTCCCGTAGTAAAAGGCGGCAACGAAAAGTGGGCATACATAATCGTTATGCCATAGCTTTATTGGTATTGGCCATAATGCACCTTCTGTATGCGAATAGACTACAATGCCATCAATGTGGAACAATACTTTTCTCAGGTTCGTCAGTTGTTCACGAATCTCAGGTTCGTCGTACACTACTGGTTGGATACATTTTTGCAATCCATTTTTTATTCCCATATAACTGTAGCGGCCGATATCCGCCGTTTTGGAAACAATAGGGAGATTTTTAATTGCATGGGAAAATCCCGTGAGTTGCGCTATACTTGATAGTAGTTCTGATAATCCTACTTCTCTCAGTTTTGTCAACAAATTAGTCACTAAGCACGTTTTCATATTCATGATATTTTTTCTCCTTCACACAAGCTAGAGGCTTTGGAATGTGCTCTGTACTAATGAAGCCGTGGACATTATACTCGCGTTCCGAGAAGAATCAGAGTGCACTTCATCACCATCAGTTCTAACGCTTTGTAGGAGACTAGTTGAGGAGTCACTCCCACTTGCACTGAAGTCTCGACTACCACCACTGTACACCAGAAATTCTCCATGATCATCGATGAGTTCTACAGGATCAGGAATCATGGGAACACTTCCTGTGCAAAAAGTTTCTGCTTGGCTATTTATTTCATCACAATTTTCAGAAGTTTGCAACCAGGCAGAGTCAGCTGTCTCTGAGCCCCTCGACTACTCACTGGTCACTTAATTCCGGTCGTGTTTTCATAAATGTCATTTTCTTCTCTCTATACGTTAAATTTTTTTTATAAAACTCATGATGAGATTTTTATTCGTGAATTATTAAGTTTTTTACTTCGTCGTGATAAACGTTTTACATTGAAGGTTAGAGAGTCAACATATGACGTTTTCACTCCTTAATTTCACGTTTTCACTCCTTAAACTCACATTTTCCACGCTTCGCGCCATCATGGACTATCTATGAGTGAAAATACGCGATATCGATAATGGAATTGGCAGTCAGAATGAGACAATGGGGAGTTTCCCATATTATGAATAAGGACACGTATGGAAAAATGTAATAGAAAAACCTGGCGAATTCGCGAGACAATTCCATTGGATTTCTACTAAACTTTCTATTATTTTTTGGCCGCTTTAATTAAAATTTTCAATAGAAAAATCTATAGGAAACGTCAATAGAATTAATTTTTTCACATATTTTATTGGAATATTCATTTTTTATAATTTCTTCGGCTCAAAATTTTCAAGTTTTATGTTTGATATTCTTCATAAAAAGAATAGAAAAATGCAGTGAAAAAGACTTAGAAAATTTGGGCCGAGGAAATTCTACAGAGAATATTTCAATAGAATAAATTATATAGAAAAAAACCAATTCTATGGACTTGTTCTGTAGAATATTTTCTATGTAACATTTTAATAGAATCGGCTAAAGACTAATAGAAAGTCCAATAGAAAACCCATAGAATTGTCATGCGAATTCGCTGGCATTTACTATTAAATTTTTCCGTGCGTAGAAAAATTAAAAATAATTTTTTCATTCCAGCAATGATGTAGTGACAACGGGTCTATTATTTAGGGTTTGAATCATAAGATATTTAGTCAGTTTCCTATCTTTTCATTTGTTATTGAATAAACCGAAATTTGAACGAGGCTGGAACAAGGCTGGATGTAACATTGACGTCTATGCTTCAATCAATTTTGGGTTCGACAATGAAATCAAGTTTCATTCCATCCTGGATCTTCTAGCCTTGAAAAACAAGAGTGTTTCAACTTTAGAATAAGGCTTGAAAGAACATGGAAGTCTCCAACTTGTACCAATGTATGATTCAATGATGGAAACAAGCTTGATTACACGCTGGGTCACTCAGTCTCGATATACCATTCTGGACCAGCCTTGTTTCCATTGTCAAGGTGGACGTTTCTCACCTGGGTGGTAGAGGTCATACCTCGCCAGGGTCATGCTTCATAAGAGTCAACCGTCGCAAAAGTTGATTCATGGTCGAATGTCAGATGTTACACGAATTATACCTCGCCCGAATCGGACCTCGGAAGGGTCAGACTTTGCAAGGATCATAGCCTGTGAATGTCGATTACTGTATTTTGACTGAAACTAATTGACCAGTTCCTGGATGTCAACTCTTTCCCTTGTTGAGTAAAGAAAATTACTTTGAGAAATGAAATGTTCAAATATCACGTTTTATGGCAATCTGCAGGAAAATTGGTGGTCTATGAAAAAAAGACGTTATTCAAAACGATTTGGAATTTCATTAAAAAATAATTTTATAACTGCTCCAAGTAGTTTTGTTGGAGGTAGTCTAAAATATATAAAGGGCTAACTGAAGTTAACCCCATTCTGCCAATTTCAAATTATCGCAAATCAAATTCAAGCCATCTCACCTGACTTTCCCTCTTTCACTCAACCAAAATGGACATCATAATTCTAAATGCAAGAGAATTTCCCAATATCTGGTGTCTCGTCGAAAATTTACTCCCAGTATGACAAAAAAATACTAAAATGAATTTAGAAAATATTTCCTCTGTAGGGCTACTGTACTGCAGTGGTGATCGTAGAATTTCCATCAGGTCTGCTAAGTCTTTAAGCGGTTTATGGATTTCGGACCCACCATTCCATATAAATTCCTTCCTCTGCTCCCCACCTTTTGATACTATATAGACCATTGTAATACAGTCGGTAATTCCGACGTGTCCACAGTCTACGAAAAAACTAAAAAAAAATCCATAAAAATCGATGACAGCCTCTTTACACTCAGCTTATCAGCTGCACATTCACTGAACTAGTGCTCCTTCATGGTATGGAATAACAGAAAAAATGTTTATCACTAGCACAACAATATAGTATAGTCATTTTAGTTTATTTCCGAATGGTTAGATTCCATGCAATAGAGTAATGACAATGAGCGTTGCAGCCCCCTTCATGCTCGATCTAGCGTGTATTTGGCCATTGGCCATCTATACTCGTTGATAAATGTATCTTGGGCCATGTGTCTGTGTGCAAGATTCAGCGGCAAAGAAGGAAAGGGGGAAGACTGGTAGTGAGGTTGAGGGAACTACTTGGGATGAGGATGTGACTTATATATATATATATATATATATATATATATATATATATATGTGTTTGCCTCCACTCGTGAATACATGCGGGAACAGAGATTCAATGGCACGATGGTAATAGCAATGAGTACTAATAAGGATCAAGGGGTCAAGAGTCAATCCATGGTGTTGTATAGTGCATCTGATAATGTTTACAAATATTTTGATAGGTATGTCTAGTAATGACATTTTCAGTAATCTTATCGATCTAATTAATGATTATTAATGTAATTGGAAGATTTTCCTACTCTAAATAATCCATAATTGTTTAACCAGGAGTCGTAATGAGACATTGTGAATTAGCTAATTAACAGGACCGTGAAGTGCCGTTTCGGTTTTGTGTAGGCTGAAGTTGTCTCTATGACATGTCAATGGAATTGGGGCCACGTGTAGATTCAAGTTGTGAAACGTCAAATTTTTGGTTAAAACAGAATGTGATACAATGAGTGAAACGTATGAAACACAGTTCAATGGTGGAAAAGTACTGTCGAAGAAGAACCGGAGGAGGGTATAGGAGCTTTTGGAGCAAGAGGAAATATTGTGGGGACAGAAGAAGAATCTAGTGGGGAGGGAAGCACTAAGGGCCACGAAGAGGCAGCCCCTAAAACAGGTTAAAATCACGATGGGAGATCAAGCTAAGAAGAAAAGGTACAGCAAGGAAAGTATTTTATTTTTAATCAATGGAATAGTGTGAAAAAATAAAGATAAGAAAAATATTAAAACTGCACGATGAAAGGAGGAAAATATCAAGTTCATTTCAATGATAAGACCACACCGGGAAAAAAGTTGGAGAAAAATGACCGTATAAGCCAAATACTCGTGGAGCAACCTCAATTTCCAGTACTTTTTTACCTTAAAATTTACTAAACGTGAGGGTGATTTGTACCGAAACTGTAAAATTTACCGTGCATTCAATCAAAAATTACCCCAGTGAACGTGAATAATTGTTTCAATTTTTACTATAATTTTTCTATAACGGAGAATGATTTTTACCGAACCCGTTTCGTAAAAAGTCAATTCTATTCGTCCCAATGATCTTCACACAGTTACAAAATAAGCAATACCCTGCCGGTGTGGGAAATTTTATTAAACAGTAGGATAATTTTTGCATACATATAATTTTTTTTTTAGAATTTTTTTTTTTTTTTTTTTTTTTCAAATTACCTGCCCTACAGGGAAATCCCTATGGCAGGGTCGGATACATAGTTACAATTCCGTAAATTGAGTTGTTAAACATTATTTGACTTCTTTTCTAATTTATTTTACAATCAGCGGAGCCTCATTGATATTACGTAGAGGGATGATAAGCCTTATATAAATGTTTACGTGCATGACTTGTCTATGACATAATTGACTCTTTCTGTAGGAGACGAAGAGGGGTGCCATAGCGAAGGAAAAAGAAAATAGAAACAGAAAATGAAAAAAGGGCTAAGAGATAACTAAAAAATATCTTCCTGGCAGTCCACCATTGTCTCCTCAACGAGCTTATTGTGAAAATTTCTTAGCTTAATTGCATTAATTAGGAAGTAGTATAACCTTCTGGCCCTATCCGAGAAGTTTTCTGAAATATTAAGGAAGGCAACCAACGAATCATGAACTGTATCAGACCCAGCATGGTACTCAGCAGTTAGCTCGGGCAACCAGAAACTTTTTAACCTCGAATAAGTTGGACAAATCATAATAAAGTGAGTCACGGAGTCGCTATCAGCAATATTGCACATTTTGCAGTTATTATCTGTCTGAAATTTGGTGGAGATGCCCTTCAGCGATAAGTATTGGAATCTAGTGTTGGCAAGCCTTGTCTGAATAAACGCACACATATGAGCCCAAGGCAATCTAATTTCTAGATACGGCGACCCAAAATCGACCCTGTTACGTGGTATCCTGAGCTGTATACTGGAAGAGTCTTGGAGGGACTGGAAATCCCTCTCTCTCCAATGCAGGGGCAATTTCCCAATCAGATCATTTTTCCTGTATTCCCAATGGTCTGCATTCAGGTTCAGCCACATGTCCACCTCATCAATCCTAACCAATATCGAATTGACTTGAGAGACCCAGTTGAATTTGTTGAATCTATTGACCTCCATAGTGGATATGCTATGGTTTTTGTTCAAAAACAAATGAACCTCTCTCATGAGGCAGACCCTGGACAGGCGCTCGTGACCCATTCTCAACATTTTTATAATCCACCCAAGAGGGAGGGAAAAGATCGTCACCTCCAAGTGCCCCAGACCCAGCTCAAGACGTAGTAAATAGGAGGGATTACATGTTGGTAGTCTAAATATTCTTTTGAAGAAAAAAGCTTGTAGAGGCTCTAGGTGGTCTACATATCTGAGGGCCCAAACAGGGGCACCATATAAAAGTGTGGATTTTACAATGCTCTCAAAGATTCTTAGATTACTAGTAAAAGAGTCTGACCGTGCTTTCACGAGAATACTTAAAACTGTACTGCAGGCAATTCTGGCTTTGTGAATAGCACTTTTGGCCGTAAGTAAGCCTAATGCAGAGTGGGCTATTTCAACGCCAAGATATGTGTACGAGCTAACAGTCTCAATTGTGTTATTATTAAAGACTAGGGGTTTCTCCTCCTTAGAGGGCCTGCCAGGTTGACAGATGACCAGTTGAGATTTTTTTATATTGACGCTTAACCCTTTTATGCTAATGTATTCGGCTAGAATTGTGACAATTCTTTAGAAAATCGTAAGATATCCACTTAAGAATACGTCTTACAGTATGTAAAAGATGAACTGTAATAATCGACGACTGTTGGCGTGAAGACAAGGATCTCACCCTTTGCGGTGGGCCGCTATTCTCAGGGATCGATATGTATGCGTTCACTAACGATAGAATCATTGTCGTCACTTTAAAGCTAAAAATAGGAGATGATTCCTCTATTTTGAGCATTGGGGATCGTCTCTGATCTCCTTGACCGAGGTTCAATTATCCTACTATCTATATGAGAAATAAGTGAATTTGCGGTCAATATCAGGAAATTAATTTTCCACGCTCTCTTTTGGTGTAAGGATGGTTGGCCATTTTCAACAAATCTAAATTATCATTTTCGAGGACAATTGTATAATTTTTTTTTGGCTGATAGCAGAACATATGAAACTAATTGATTGATTGATTGAAATAAATAAATAAATTCTCTCTTTGTACACATGCTCTTTTGCTAGACCAGAAAAATATGCGCTACGAGGTACAGTAAATTTTATGATTAGTTTTTTTTTGTTTTCAGAAAGTTTCTATAAAATTCAAGAGAATGCAAAGAGGTGCTAGAAATTTCGAGAGAATTTTGAAACTTTCTAGAAATGTCGACGGAATTCAGGGAGTTTCTGTAAAATTGAAAAAAAAAACACCTAAATGTTTTTCGAATTTCCTAGAACACCCGAGAAGTTAAGAAAATCTGAGGGTTCCCCAAGAAATTGAGAAAATTCTTGAGTGTTCTTGAAATGTTGAAAACATTGAGATGTTTATTCTAATTGCAGCAATTCTCAAAAATCCTGGTATTCAATTTCCTCTTATTCTGCTGAGTGAAGCGGGGCCACATAGCTACTTCAATTAAATATCTGTTGGAACTCGATGAAAATTCTGTTGGAATTCCATTAGAATTTCATGGTCATCGCGTGGTTAATTATTGGTGAATTGAATTAATAAAGAGGTGAAAACACTCCCAATAATTTTAAAATTTTGTCAGATATTTTGTATTGATTTGGACTAACTCTGTGCAAAATTTCAGCACGATCGGTCCAATAGATTTTAAGTTTGTTTTCCATCGTGAATGTCAATTCTCAGGCTCTTCAGATTCTTGTGAGCATCGAGCAAATCTCAGAAATTACAGCCGTTTAC